TCTTCGTGCGATGCGATGTGTCTCACACCGTCCGATGGCATGTGACAAGATAGTCGGACGGGCAAGCGCGGGAGGACGCGGCAGCTGTGGAAGCGGCAGAAGTAAGAGTCACAGCAGTCACGATAACTCGCCTTCCCCAGCGATCGTGAAGCGGAAACCGATTAAACGACGTCGCGGTGAAAATGAGAGTGAAGACGCCGTGGACAATTTGGAAGGCGCTGCGAATGGTCGAATTTCAGTTGGCGCCAGGGACGCATCACCGGAAGGCGATTTCGTTTCTTCGTCTTCCCTACTGCCGGCCGCCACACTGCGGCTGTTGGAAGCCGACCGTCGCATACAATGCCATTATGTCAACTGTGCCGATATGACGTCGCAGCAGCTGTGTGATGCCATTGCCAGCTGCTTTCGTGTGGCCCAGCCTCGTCTCGATGCGTCGTCGCGGAATTTGTTGAGTGAAATTGAAGCACTTCCACGGCATGTCACCGCATATAAGCGTCGTGGTGTGGCCGCTGAAGCGGCACGGAAACTTCTCCTGCGGGATTCCGCCGTCGAACATGTCACAGAACCCACGGCTTTGAAAAAATGCGTGTTGAAAGTACCGCTCCATGTTCTGGCGCTAGACGAGGTGGAGTACGTTCGAGCCGGTGCCCGTGGCCTGTTAACTGCACTGGCCGCGCTTTCCGTGGATCATGCATCACAACTGGCCCTCGTCTTCATCTCCAATCAACGCGAGTTGGTACATGTCCCGTACATGCTACTGAAGGAGCTTCCTTTTGAGGCGTATAGCGCACAGACGTTGGAGCGCATCTGTACAAGGATTGTGGCCAATGTAGATTTCACGGAGAAGGAACGGATGCAGGTGCAGTTGAGTCCGGCGTTGATAGCGTACATTGCCAAGAAAGCCGTCCACGAATACTCCGGTGATGTTCGCCAAGTGGCTTCCATGTCCCGCCGCCTTGTCCACACAGCCCAGAAAGAGGCTCGTGATGAGGCAATCAAACGAGGTGAGGTGCGGAATGAAGAAACCCCGCAGCGTCGCAGCGGTAGTGGCATCACACGCGCTGGCGCGGTCCCGGGCAATACTTCGCCTGCCTCTCCCGCCGCCGTCATGACACTCGCGCAGAGCCAAAAAGTATTACGTGGTACTGCTGTCGTGAGCGATCGCGTCTTTGAGTACGTTTCGGGTATGCCAGAGCAGATGCTATATGTTCTCAGCTGCCTTGTTGTCTTGGCACTCCGACAGCAGCGGGATAAAAGTCTTGCGCAGACAAATGTGGCCGGCGTGACATCAATGACACGTCGTGTGAGGACCGATGCTGCAGCGGGTAAAACAGAGCCGGGCAC